AAAACTGAAGACTCTATTGGTATTTTAAGACATTTATTACATTCTTCATGTATAGGAGAATACTAATATTCTTTTAGTCAAGAGCCTGGAACTTTTCCATCTTAAATATAAGATTTCATCCAACTAAGGTAATTAAGGGAATGAATTTTGGAGCTAGATCTAGAATACGCCCCCCTCCTTCTAGGTAATAGTCACCTGGGTTACTAACAAATATGCCAGTCGTCCTTACTGGTAAATGATCAGATTGCATTAATCACCCTTTAGAAGTTAGGCATGACCTAATGAAATGTGAACAAAAGTAATGTGTGTCACCTCTAGCCAGAAGTGTTAAAAGTGGTGTAGGATTCACCACGTTTCCTGCATCTTCCTTGATGAAAATGGAATGATGTATCTAGATATTTTCTCCATCAATCCATGTTCCCCACTGACTGCAATGAGCAGAGGTCCTATAGTCAACACCACTGGATAAAAAGCATCAAATAGGCTGTTGTCAATGATGCCATTTTAAGTCACTGCAGTCTAACCTAGACTGATCACTATCACTAGGTATGTATTTTAAGTTATATAACCTCTGTCTCATTTTTTTCATCTCTAAAATGAAAAAATAATATCCATCTCACAAGGCTTTTATCATAGTACTGAGATGATACAAAGCATTGTGCATACTGATAATAAATGATAACATTTTTATATAAAAAGATCATCATATCTGAGGCAATATGAAAGTATAAGAGTCTGACTGATTTAGAGGAACAAAGAAAATCCTCCACTTAAAAATAATTTAATTTCTAAATGTTTATTTGGGGAAACAATTGCTTTATAAATCTTTTTGCCTATATATGCAGAGTCTATTTTTAAGGGACCATTATCACCAGCTTCAAAGCTTTTTTCACATTTCCTTTTGAAAGTTCAGAAGGTAAAAATTAATAAGTAAAAGAAATCCTGCAATGAAAAAAAAATCACTAAGCACAATCCCCTAAGCCCAGGTAAGTAATACAGCAGATGAATAAAATACACCAAATTTTAGTTTGAAATTTCTTTTATCAATCTACAGGTAAGATTCAGAGGGACAAGAAAGGGTAAAAGGTTTAACTCTTGACTGCCTATGTTGACAACTGTGGCAATTAACAAACATTATGTCACTCAGTTCTCAAAGTACTGTGATGTAAACATACACACACACAAACATACACATTATAGGTAGGAAACAAGCACAAAGATTAAGTGAACTGCTCACTAAAGTGGTAATACTAAGTGATGAAGTTTTAAATCAAACCTACTTTAAAGCCCATGTCAAGCTACTTTTGGGAACTATGTTTTCAAGTCATGCTACTTCTACATGCTCAAAAACTGCTTTAGAATAAAGGAAGAAGAATCAAAAGACTAACAAAGCTATTCCATACTGAGTTCTTAATTTTGAGGGGTCCTATGGCAACAGAATAAAACCATGAAAATTTATCACTCTTTCCCATCATCTTAAGGTTTTATTAAAATGTCCCTAATTAAAAGTTATTGAGCAAAAATGTATTTCATATGTAGAGTATATGGGAGGATATGTGTAGGACATATGCAAATATCCTTGGGGTCCTGAAACCAATACCCCACAGGTATTTGGGGACAACTGTCAAAACAAGCATATCTAAAGTAGAATTTCTGTGTTTTGACAAAAGTATAACTCCTGAAATACACATTGTAATCAAGATAAAAATCAACTCCATCACCTTAGAAAGTTCCCTCTGGCCCTCACTCAATTCTCACACTCCTGGAGAAGCATGCACTATACAAATTTCTATCTTCTTAGATTAGTATGACTGATTTTAAAGGTTCATATAAATGAAATCATGCAATTTGTGCTTTTGTGAATCTAGCTTTTTATCTTCAATACAGTGTTTTTCAGATTTAACAGCATTGTTCTATTTTTCAGTATTTTATATGATAAAGTTGTGTGTCTGTCTATTCTGCTGTTTAGATATCTGCATTGTCTCCACTCTATCTATTATACAAACTATGAAAAGTTTTATAAAAATTTGTGATTAAAAGCTATCATTTCTCTTAGTACTGTATCTGTGAATAGAATTGCTGACTTGCAGAGTAGGTACGTGCTTAACTTCACAAGAAATTGCCACATAGCTGTTGATTCCACTGCATACAACTCCCTGCAATGTATGAAAGTTTCTGTTGTTCCATAAATGCCAATATTGGGCATGTTCAATACTTTTTATCTATTGAGTACAGTAAAATGTAATTGTAATACTATTGTTTGAATTTATTTCTCCCTTATAACTTACAATGTAAAGAAAAATTTACATGTTAAAAAATGTATTTCATAGCTTTCCTCTCCAGGTGTTCAGAGCAGACTATAATTTTTTCTGCACCTACATTTAGAACAGACAGGCTAATTTTTTACTGAAATTGATTTTAAGAGTTGGACTTAGAGTTCCTCCACCTAATAAAGTGGCTTTTACTATAAACTGGGGGTCAATTTTTGCCATCTGTAATAATAAGCAACTTGAAATCTTTCCTTGTACATCTCTTCTGCTCATGCTAACACCAACCATATTATCAACCCCCACAAAATCACAGGTGATTGTCAAACCTTGTTTTTCTGCTCCTGGCCATACAGTACAATTACTCTTAGAGACCAAAGTAAGCAAAATGAGGGCTCCAGAACCTTGGTTTACTGTGGGATTTTATGTTAAATTTAATCCACATATAGTAACAAAAACTGAAGAGATCAAAAAAATTATCCACATTCTGTATCTTAAACTTTGGTTGTTCTTAGATATTATATTAAGAACATAAGCTATTTTCCAAGTTTCAAGTTGTATGATAAAGTTGTGTTTTTTTTTTTTTTTTTTTTTTTTTTTTTTTTTGCTTTTAAGATATCATATCACAAAGCACATGTAACTTAGCAAGAGTCAAAGTCAGCTTTTGGCTTATATCATCAATGAATGCTTTTAATGACATCAACAGTCAAAGTGGTAAAATGTTGAAAATATGATATGTTGATGAAGAAGAAACCCTGAAACAATATCAAGAAAGTTGTTCTAAATATATAACATCAATTTTTGATAAAGTTCCTTCTCAATTTTGAAACAACTCATTGTGGATCAGAATCGAGAATATTTGTAAAATAGAATGTGAAACATTCTTGGCTAATGGCTTTGTTGCCATAATGGTAGACTAATTAATACCAGATATTATACCTATAAAACTGGGAAGGGGAACAGCAGCAGCAGCATTTGTAGCAATAATACAACCCCTATCCCTAATCCTAACCTTGTTTTAACTATATCTACTATTACTATAAATACCATCATTACCAACAAAGAAGTTTCCAGTTAAGATTGCAGTAAAGATCCAATTTCAACTGTGGGAAAAGGAGAAGAAACTTCATAGAAGGCTGTTTCTAGGCTCAAAAGGAGCCTAGAAGGAGAGGGAAAATCAAGTTTTAAGTCTATATTCAAAGAATATTTCATTTTTCTAAAGATATGAACTTTTAACAAGACTTTGGTTTGATATCTGAGCCTAGAATTTTACACTGACAAAAAGGGAAATACAGACATTACACAGAAAGCAACTTTAAAAAGTAGCACTAGGTTACGTCTTTCTGTAAAGATAGCTAAAAAAGTGTGTGTTGGCTTTGTTGTTGTTTTTTGTTTGTTTGCTTGCTTGTTTTTTACAAGGATACAAAGTACAAAAAGATGATGTTGAATAAACGAAAGAAAAATAAGTACAGGGGAATATAAAGTGCTATGTTGATGGTTGGGAAGTAGGTAATAAAGTTAAAGAAAAGGCAGAAAAGTCTCCCTAGTCAAGTGTCCTTGGTGAATTTTTTTTTTCCTCAAAGGAAAATAAAATTGCCTAGATCTCAAACTAAGACTACTTACACATATGCACACCCCCAAAAAAGCCCACTAATGAAAGCCTGCTTCTTTCAAAAGAAGGAAAGTCTCCAACTTTTGACATTTTTTATAGTTTAGGATCGGTTAGAGAAAAAGGCAATTCAGTGCATGCTTCTAGCACTTTTTAACACTCCTTGCTCTTGAGACACTGTTGTTCTCTTTCGGATTAATATCTTGGTAACTAATCCAGTTACTCTGAGCCAAGCTTTTATCCATTATTGAAATTTCCTTCATAGTTGATGTAAATCTTACAGTAGTAACTATAGTGTATAAAGAGGGAGAAAGAGTACCTTAGCATGCCTGTGTCATGGTGTATGGTGGCGGGCAGCGTGTAGCAGGAGGAGTTATAAACATTATCCTCTGACTTTTTTTCTTCAGTTATAATTATCAAGATATTTCAATTATTAAAAACCCTAACAACTTAAGTTTTACTTACATATATTTTTCTTTTACTATAAATGCAAAATTTCTTACATATTCTAAATATTGAGATGTTAATAAGCTCATTGAAACATTACTCTTTGCTGATGATTATTATTTATATGTGCAATTTCAGACTTTAATGGAAATTAAACAGAATGATGATTATAGGTTATATCCTTTTCATATTCTGTAGGTGTTTCTTTTTTTAAAAAAAGTATCATTTTTAAACTTGAAGCAAGTATAATAAGATAAAGAGGATGTTAGCATATCTCTTCAAGTAAAGGCACCAATGCAAAAAATAATGATGTTGCTACAGAAAGTTATTTTAATTAAAGAAAAAAGTTGAACACAAAAGAATACAAACTACTAAGAAAAAAAGAAATAGAAAATACTAAAGAAAAATCTAGCTAAAAAGCTATTTAATGTTGTGCTACTTAAATGCAAGTTAGCATATTACAAATGTTGTTTGCACAGTTAAGTATGAATATTTAAATAATGCAATCTGGAATACTAACACAGAAAAACACCAGAGGGGGAAAGAGGGTTATAAAAGTACATAAATTCCTATCACAGATACATTCAATTTGTCAAATTGAGCAAATTAAACATCTAAATTTTTAAAATAAAATATAACTGAACTCCTACTTTCAAAAACTATGACTTTTCTCATACCTCCTGTATGTGATTATTCTTCTCCAAGATGGAAAGAGCAACAGCAGCACATTCCAGTGTAGAAAGGCATCTATTGGTTGGCTGCATCCGAATGACATACTGACTGGAAATGTTCGTTTTTAACTGCACCTAAAACCAAAAACAAAATAACAAAATGAAATTTTGGTCTTAAATTTAAAACTATAACGTTTGTGCTTTAAATATTAATTACTTTCCATATAAAATTGCTAGTAGTTTAAGAAATAACTGAATGTATCAATTATTTCATATATAATATTCTTTTCTTCTTTTCACTGTTAAATAGTAGAAGGAAGATGATGGTTACACATTTATCTGACAAAGATGATACATCTAAAATATATACAAAGTCCTACATATCCAAAATACAGACTAATAACTCCCTCTCAGTGGGGAAAAAAGTATACACTTCATGAAGACAGATATAAGAAAGGTACACGAGTATATGAAAAAGAGCTCAAATGATCTAATGTAAATTAAAACCACAGTGGAATAACATTTCACACTCATTAGAAATAGTTAAAATAAAATAAATAAAGATATACAGCAAATTAAACTCTCACAGACTGTAGAATTTAAAATGATATTACTTCACAATTTTTTAAAATCATGCTTTATCCCCATTATTTCTTAGTATAGTATAAAGTGTTATTTAAAGTGTCATAGGTATACCTGTGTAGATGGTGTATAAAGATATACACAAATACACACAAATATATGTAATCCTCTCTTAGGTAAGAAATAGTATGCTATACATACTTTATATATACATTTCTCCATGGATATATTTTTTTATCTGAAACCTGAAGATAGAGTCAGACATGAAAAACATCAGCAGAAAACCAATAGTCAACACTTGGGATTTTTGTCTCCTATTTTAAGTAAATAAAATTCAAACAATCTTATAAAGTCACATTCCTAGCCCACATTCTAAACAGAATCACATGTTAGGATATGCAGATAGAAGATAATTTCAATTTTTACTTCTTCAGGTGTTCTCTCTCGTTTTGTTAGTATTCTCAAAGTAGTATGAGATCACTTCAAATCCATGACATCTTATCCTTCAATTCCTTCCCTCTTCTGTGTCTTATGCAGTCCCTCATAATGAGAAATATAATTCTTCTAGTTTGGCTCTTTGTTTAAAACAATTTTTCTCTATGGCTTTTATTTCTCAGAAAGGGAACAGGAAAGAGTGGGATACTATGGTTGCAGCTTAATGGACACTATGAGTATATATTTGATTTTGGAATACATACTTTATAAGCTGACTAATAATATTTGGAGTATGATTATATTAAAATTAATTTATATTTCTCCAAATGGAAAGATGTGAAGGAGATTCAGGGAAAGGAAGGATGAAAATGGTTAAGAAATATATACAGTGATAAAAGAAAGCCTATGATTAAATAACTGCAAGAATATTCACAATGTTGATTAACTGTAATTACTAACAGTTTTAATAATTCATCAAAGATGAACAGAGAATAGCCAACTACTGCTCTCAATACTTAATCCCCAAGTTTTCCTTGGATGAATTTATAATAGACATCCCATTATCACAAAATAATTGGGACACAGGCAAAATTCAGTCAATTTTACTTACTGGAATGAATTTTACTTTTTAAAAGACATTTGTTATTACAGGGAGTAATTTTATTTCCTATTGTAAGAAAATTCAGAATTTGAAATTTCATATGTTAAAAGACTTCAGGGCTGGGGTTGTGGCTCAGCGGTATAGCATTCACCTAGCAGGTGCAAGGCCCTGGGTTCAATCCTCAGCACCACATAAAAATAAAATAAAGGTATTGGGTCGAACTACAACTAAAAGATACATATTTTAAAAAGTTAAAAAAATACTTCAGAATATCCTTCACAAATCATCTTTCCAGGAATTAAAACTAAAAGACCAGATAGCTAATCTGTATCATAGTGATGACATACATGTTATTAGATGATAGCATGTTAAATGTGGTCTCATAGCTTCTCCTTTCATGTTTTTGTGCTATTCCATCTTCATCACATACTCTATTCAATTAGCAAATGAACAAGAGGAGAAAGAAGTGGATAAACTTTTAGGCAAATCCCAGTAGCTCAGTGACAGAGTGCACACCCTGCATTCTATCTCAAGCACTACTTTAAAAGAAACAGGGGTGAGGAGAATTAGCATAGACAAAAGCAGGATACATAGAAAGTGGGCTGGTTGAAAAATCATGATAATTTTATCGAACCTGACAATAACAAATCAATCTCACCCATATCATTAGTTTCTTAGTTTCCCTTACCTCCTCCTCACCTATAAAATCAGATAGCTAGATGTGATGGTGTCAATTCTGACAGCTGAATTTATCTCGTAGGTATGAACCCTAAGATTTTATAAATACAGACAGAGGTAGATATATTTGCAAGTTTTGAAGTCATGCTGACTCAAAGAATGCCTCAGTAATTTTCTCTTTTTAAAAATATTTATTTATTTATTTATTTGTTGGTTTTTGGCGGACACAACATCTTTGTTTTTATGTGCTGCTGAGGATCGAACCCGGCCACACGCATGCCAGGCGAGCGTGCTACCGCTTGAGCCACATCCCCAGCCCCTAATTTTCTATTTTTGAAACCTGGTTCTCTATGATATAAGCTGAATACTCTTAATGAGAAACAGGAAAATCACTGGTTGGTTCAAATTCTATTGGTATAGTTTGTGGGCTTATAATAAAGTTTTTATTTTAGAAACTTAAGCTTCAGACCTTTTCCATTGATTCTCTGAATCAGCTAAAAGTTCAATTTCTAGAAATTCTTTTGTTGTTATAATACCTTCCTTTTTTCTCTTCCATTACATTAGATAAATTTTTGGGAGACTAAGGCAGGAGGATTGCAAGTTCAAAGCTAGCTGCAGCAATTAGGAAGGCCCTAGCCTGTTTTAAAATATAAAATAAAAAGGGCTGAGGAGGTAGCTCACTGGTTCAGCACCTCCAGGTTCAAAAAAAATACCAGATAACAGTATGGATGACTATGATCGCTGTTCAGGTGCCTTTTTAAAAATGTTTTTACAAATTTCTCCTTCCTATTTATACATTTAGCTCTTTTTGTTACAAGTGATTTTTGCCATTAAAAGTTTAAATAACATACATACTCAGTGGTTTAGTAGTGACCTTTAGGACTAAAACAAATATTCAAGGAAATAACAGGTTGTGGAATATGTTTGCATATTATTAAAGATTTTTAAAAATAACTTATTGCTATAAACAATAATTAATTCTTTTGTTGGGCAAAACTAACAAACACCTTAAAATTTAAATTAGAATTTTAATTCAACTCCTGATAATACTGCATTTTAATAATCTGATGGTAATCACTTTTTCTCTATAATCAGGCAATCTTAAGTCAAGTTCATTACTATTCAAAATTATTGTGTGTCTCAATTATTAAGACTTTCTAATCACTTGATCAAATTACTTACAGGTTTCTAGGAAAATCAACCTATTTTCCACGCCGTCTGAAACAATTCTAGACTAGAATAGGCTTAAACAAACTTCTTTTTAGTAACATCCTGAAGTCTTACCATTGAGAGACACATATAAAAACCTCCTTTCTGTAGCAGACTTATTTCTATGATCTTTCCCAGGCTAGATTCATTATCTGAGTTCATGAGCTGCCCCTTGAAAGAGAAGCACTTAACTTTTTCTTCTAGCCCCAATCCCTCAATTCATTTCACTCTTTTCACTCCCTTGATTTAGTTCAACTATATGACCTAATAGTGGTAAAAGTCCAGCTTTGGCATCAGACAGATGCCAGATCTAAAACAGATTTAGTCATTTATGTATAAGATTTCATGCAGTTATAAATAATAAATTGCTTCATTTAATTCTCATAAAGACCCTATGAAGTAGGTACCTTCATTATCTTCACTTTATAAAAAAGGAAACCAAAGCAGAGAGACATGAAGTAACATGCTCAAGGTTCCAAAATTTGTCATGTCAGAGCAGAAACAGAGGCTTATTCAAGAGCCTGAGTGAAACAACCAGGTTAATATCTTAAGTGGATAAATTTGTAGGCAAATCCCAGTATAGTAAACAAATAAAAACAAAGTTTTTCTATTGGAAAACAAGGCTGGGTACCCTGAAGAATACCCTGTATAATCTTCTGAACTTAATCATTTTTTTAAAATGATAAGGAGGGAAGGGTCTTTTACACAAGTATAAAAGTTACTTGCAAATATCAGTGTCTCTGCCTTGCTCCAGTTCTGACATACCACAAAGCCTGTCCCTGCCTTACTCCAGCTCTGACCTATTATAAAGCCTGCAAAGTTTTTACAAAAAGTAGAAATTCTATGAATTAACATGGAAACTCAGAAAATATGATAAAAATAAAGTTCAAAGGGACATCAGTTGTAGATAAAATGAAAATATCAGTGCTACTCCTCAAACACATTATCACTTAAATTATTTACTTTTCTAGGCTTGTTTGAAAATCTACAATTCACAACAGTTTATATAAGAAAGCCTGTGTCCAAAATTTTATGTGTATATGTGTATTTATAGAATATGTTTGATTTAAAATTTAGCTCTTTTCTACAGAATTTTTCATGCTAACACATCAGTAAGAACACTATATGTTACTTTTGATGTTAAAAACACAAATATATAGTTAAAGAGTCTAAACATTAAGCACTTAAAATTCTTCAGTTTCAGCAATCTAAATACTAATACAAAAATAAGACTTTGTTTACTGAGTGACAGCCAAACATCGTGATTACTGGATTTTCCTCTTAAGAATAATATTTTATCTTCACAGTCTTCCACTAAACTCCAATATACCTCGTATCTGAAGACCCTAGGAACTATCAGTATGAGAATATATTCAAAGGAAAAACATCCACATAGATTCGTAAGATCACAGGACTGAATATAATCTTTAGAAATTAAATAATCCAGAGGGGCTCGGGTTTTGGCTAAGTGGTACAGCGCTTACCTAGCATGTGTGAGGCACTAGGTTCAATCTTTACCACCAAATAAAAAATAAATAAATAAGCTAGGCATGGTGGCACATGCCTATAATCAATCCCACAGCTCAGGAAGCTGAGGAAGGAGGATGCAAGTTCAAAGCCAGTCTTAGCA